GCTGTGGCCATGCCCTGAGCCAGGGGAATGGAAGTAACTACCCCACCAAGATGTAACTGGGGGGCAGGTCCCCCCTATGTTACAGCACCTGCGTGGGAGCTTGGAGAAGATTGGCTCCATGACATGGGGTCACACCTGCCCAGATTCATGATGGCAGCCCAGTAAAGCTGTAAGGATATGAGTTCTGGCATGTGAAGCCGAGTGTGGGAGGAGTCAGAAATGGGGCTGCAGAGAAAGATTGGCACAGGGATTTAAACCCAGAGGCGGCAGCCATTGAGAGAGAGAACACGTGTCTTTAGCAGAGTGGGAACTCCGGCAGCCCTGCAAGAGAGAATCACCATGAGGCTTTAGATGAGAACAGCCACTCAGCTTTGGCAGAGTGGCGACCACCCTCCCCCCAACCCCACCGCTCCACAGCAACTGGGGAGAAGCACGCGGTTTTGGCTGAGTGGGGACTCCCATGGCCCTGGGAGAGAGGACCATGTGCCTTTGCCAGAGTGGGGAACCCCACAGCTTTAGAAAGGGGAACCACCACCTGGTTTTAGCAGAGATCCCAGTGACTCAGCTGAGGGTGCCAGGAACCCAGGGAGGTCTTGTTACAGAACAAACAAGGGGGGCCTGGGACAATATACTATTACTGAAAGAAGCCCCCAGGTCCGTTATGTCCACCACCAGAGGAAAGACATCTCTCGATGCCAGAGATTCATGAAAAGGAAAGCAAATGTTTATTTAATGCTTTACAAACTTAAAGTAGTGACCTAATATCTTTATCAAAAAATCCTAAAGTCCCTTAAAACACCCACAAACAGACACAGTCCTTCCTTCCTTCCCCCTTTGCCCAGTCCAGAGTACCGTATATCAGGAAAGGAAATAGAAGTCCATGGCTCAGGCATTCCTCTAGTTATTCCCTGTTAGTACTGTCTTGACTGGGAGACCTCCCTGGGTTCCCGGCACCCTTAGCTGAGTCACCAGGATCTCTGTTAAAACCAGGTGGTGGTTCCCCCTTCTAAAGCTGCGGGTGTCCCCACTCTGGCAAAGGCACATGGTCCTCTCTCCCAGGGCCATGGGAGTCCCCACTCAGCCAAAACCGCGTGCTTTTCCCTTCATTGGCTGCCATGTCTGGGTTTAAATCCCCACGCCAATCTTCCTCTACACCCCCATTTCTGACTGCTCCTACACTTGGGCACACTTGCCCTCAATCTGCTGTCTTCTCCAGCTTTTCTGGTCGCCATCGTGGGTCTGGGCAGGTGTGACCCCATGTCATGGAGCCAATCTTCTCTGAGCTCCCACACAGGTGCTGTAACTTGGGGGACCTGCCCCCCAGTCACATCTTGGGGGAGGTCCCTTTCCATCCCCCTGGCCTAGAGCATGGCCATAGCTATTTAGCATATCTAAGTGACCAGCCAAAGGCTATAGGTATGTTAAATGACCATGCCACGGATTAGCTGCAAAGCTGCCCTGCATGTTCTTGGTCTGTGTGCCCCTTCCCCCAACTCACACCTGTGGGGGAAGGGGTGAAGACATCTTAAAATCTCCTGGACCTTGAGTTCTGGACCCCAATTCAAATGCCTATTTGGGGTCCCCCCTCTTGGCTGCACCCTATAACAGTCTCCCAGTCAAGACAGAGTACTGACTGGGAATAACCAGAGGACTGCCTGAGCCATGGACTTCTATTTCCTTTCCTGAGATATGGTACTCTGGACTGGGCAAAGGGGGAAAGGAAGGACTGTGTCTGTTTGTGGGTGTTTTAAGAGATTTTAGGATTTTTCGATATAGACATTAGGTCACTACTTTAAGTTTGTAAAGCATTAAATAAACATTTCCTTTCCTTTTCATGAATCTCTGGCATTCAGAGACGTCTTTCCTCTGGCGGTGGACATAATGGACCTGGGGGCTTCTTTCAGTAATAGTATATTGTCCCAGGCCCCCCCTTGTTTTGTTCTGTAACAGATTGAGCACTGGACTGTGAAGCAAAGGGTTTCCAGTTCGATTCCCAGTCAGGGCACATGCCTGGGTTGCAGGCCAGGTCCCCAGTGAGGGATACACAAGAGGCAACCACACATTGATGTTTCTCTCCCTCCCTTCCCCTCTCTAAAAATAAATAAATAAAATCTTTAAAAAAAAAGAAGTGTGGGTATTAAACAGTCTTGAGTAATCACTGAAAGAAAATAGGAATGCCTATAAAAGGGCAAGAAACCAGCCTTACATTTGAAACAGGAGACAGCATAGGAAGAACTCTGAGACTGCACTGCTGTTACTAACCAGCATCTAGCATCCTGATTGCCAGGAAATGCCTCTTATCACTTGGGTCAAATGAACAGTAAACCAATGCAGGGAGGAGGAGGGAGACATGTCTCACCCACTAACTCAGTAGTCATGACCTGGTCCAATAATATTGCCAGGTGCTCCAACATCACAAGAAACACTATGTTAGCATGGGAGGAGTGAAGTCCTTGAAATTCTATGTAGTGTTTCCACTACCAGAGAAAAAAGCCTTAAAACTGTGCTTTCATCCCATGGCCTGGAATGTGGGAGAGGGCCCACTGTGCCCAAAGAAGCAGCCAAGAAAACAGCCTTGTTTAATTGTCTGCCTCTGGTCACTGTTTTACAAGCAGTCCCTAATGTCTACAGAAAGAGCCCATAAATAACTTTGGGTAACTGCCCCAACTTTAGTTAACTGCTTCCTATCATGTATGTTTTACAACAAGATGAACAAATAGGGTCTGGAGCAAGATAAGAATTTGGGCTGACAGACCCCCACACATACCTACATTTGGGTAGTCACATCCCCCCAAGAAAGCTGGCACCTCATTTACCCATTTATCAATATGTAACTTTTTTACTCCTATCCCACCAACTATGTAAGTCCTCAGAACAAAGGGCTTAGAGGGGTATCTAGGTGCTCAGGGAGCGCTTGGCGCTCTTGGCTCTCTGGCCACCTAGCCTCAGGCCACCTGGGGTCTGGCCGCCCTGGTCTTCAGCCTCTCTTACTTTTGCCACCTTGCTTTGTCCTGAACCTTAGCTTTTCACAACCCCTACCCCCACACTCTAGCTAGGCCTGTTCTCTTCCATGGAAATGGATCACTAATAAATTTATTGCACACTAACAGATTTGCTGATCTATAATTGTTTACATGCATCAGCAAGAAGAACCAGGTCTCTCCCATCAACACGTTGTTCAAAGACAAGGCAAGATTCAACCCTGACTCTCTAAATAGAAACTATAACCTAGGACCATAGACATTTAGAGTTGGAAGAGTTCTGTGCCCTTTACTGTAAGCCCCTTCAGCCATATCCGTTCCTGTGTCAGGACTTCTGTTATAACCTAGCCAATAGATTGTGAGTCAGCCTCTTTTTTGAATAGTGCTAGTGACAGGAAACTCATTATTATAAGAGCAAACTATACCATTGTCTAACTAAAGTTTGCTTTTAGAAAGCTGCAACCATTAATTCTAGCTCTGTCCTCTGACACTTCACAGAATAAGGAACACGAGATAATGGAGGGACCACAGGCTCAGAAACATTCTTGAGACATTTCAACTCTGAGTCCTGACTTTGCCATTTACTGGATACATGAGTCTTCCTCATCCATTAAAAAAGGATAACTACCTAAAAGGGACTTCAGGGATTAAATAAGAAAGCCCTTGTAAGTTTCTGGTATGCCATAAGTGCTGAGTGAACATTTGTTCCTTTCTATTCCTATTCCATTTCTCTTCCTCCTGAAAACCCTTCAAATATTTCAAAACAGCCATTACATCTTCCCTAAGTCTTTCAAGTCAGCCTTGAACATGCTCAGTTTTCTTTAATTACTTCTCAAGAGACTGGCCTGTGAGTGCCAGGCAGAGAGACATAGCTTATTCAACTTTAAATACCCCAGGGCCTGACACAGTGTCAAGAAACAGTTGGTAGTCAGGGGATGTTGACTGATGAGAATTAAAATGACCTTCACATGCCAATTTCAATTCTCAGGAGAAGTCTTCCTTTTAGAGGAATGCTGAGAAACTTTTTTATGGGCAGAAACTATCAATGTGGATTCCACCCACTCCTCTGCTCAGCATTCAGTTTCCTTGGACTTCCCTTGATTATCAGCAAGATCGAACAAGGTTCTGGTCAATATCAACGCTTTTTCAGTCTCAGTCTTCTCATGTAATTACTCCCATCCCCACCCTTCCATTATCTTGGTCTTTGTCTTTTACACTTGTTTTCATGGATCTATTTCTTACATCCTTTACAAGCTGGCAAGAATGTCTTAAAACATAGTCTATTCTCTTTATAAATATCTAAAAAAAGTGATTCTAATTCTCCTGTTAACTAAATATTCTCTAGATCTGAGGGACTCAGATCTAGGAGGAAGTAACATTTGCCAGTTAGCATCTCAGGCTCACTCCTGCCTGTCCTCAGCTTGTTGGTTTCTGTCTCCCTTTCCCCTTCACAGAAAGAACAATCATATAAATGCTCATTTCTAAGCTCCTTGGATTATCAAAGTGCCTTTAAAGAGCAGAAGTCAATCACATTTTTAAAATAGCACATCTTAGGTAAGCAAAGTTCTGCACACCCAGCAAGAGATTTCTTTTTCAAACTCTGCCTCTAGGCAAGAAGAACAGAGCACTGAAACACCCAAATCAACTGGTATCTCCACTTTAGTCACATGGCTAAATAGGGCCTCTATTTTTAAACACATGACTGACACCCATCTGTCTGGGCTGGGTCAAATACAGTCCATCCTGTGAACAGAGAGAGGAATCAGATGACTTCTGAGATTCCTGCCAGCCCTATGATTTGTCAAACAGAAATATAATTGTGTGCTTAGGTTTGAAAAAAAACAACACCACCCCAAAGATCTCTCAAAACTATAATGTGCAAAAGTCAGTAAATGAACAAAAATACCTCTTCACCTTCCTTTGGATGAGTCTGAAGCCAACTTAACTGAAGCTGCCTAAAGAAGGAAATGAAAGTAAGACAAGCTGGCAGTAGAGAAGGAGGGGAGGCTGGGTTTGGTGGTGATGAATCAGGGCTTTAGACCCAGAGGGTGTCTCCTTCCAAACTGTGCAATTAAAGACCCAATAAAAGGTTTTGGCACCTGCCATCAGCTCACAATGCCTTGCCTGCTTCACACTTGCTCTCACTCGTGAACAAGGTAAGTCTCAATGAGTATCTGCTTGAGCATACTTAGGGTGTGGGGGCTGCTTTGCTTCCTTGTGAAATTCCATAAGATTTTCAGAAGAAACGCTTTAAGTAAACCACTTCCAATTGTTAGGGTGGCCAGTGATGCAGGCTGTGACAGAATTCACAAAGAGAAGAAAATGCAGAGAGCCAAGTTTTATTTTTACTTTCCCAAGACAGGGTAAGGGCTAGGTGCGGAGAAATGCACCAGACCTGAAGAGCAGGGACTGTGAGGTTTTCTTGCATCAAAAAGGGCAAGGGTGTTGTAGCTGAGTAGTCATGGCAAATCAGTTGTAAATCAGGAGGTTTCCGGCTGATAATGCAGGCTTCAGTTTGTTTTGTTGTTATTTCTGGGTTCAGGGTCTGTGTGCTCCAGTATGTCCTGTTTGTATAAATTTTGAAACACCTGCATGGGGGATGCGTTTAGCAATCTTTCCAGTTCCAAGATGACAGTTAATTATGCCTGACAGGCTGAAGGAAAGAGAGATAGCTGGCACTGGTTAAGAAGTCCTGAAAGGGGCTTTTTTGTCCTTTAACTGAGATACTAAACTGGGAGCTCCAGCCACCCAAATGTACCATCCCTTGCTTCCAGAACTTCTTTGATTATTGTTTTACCAAGCAATGTGAATCATTTTTTTAATATAAACTGTTTGTAAGACATAGGAATGAATACTATTTAACAAGACACATAGCTCAGACCTGTATAAAAATACAGAATTATTTAAATGATGGGTATTGACTGAAGGGTCAGAACTCTATTTATTTTACCAGTAAGTTCACTGAGCCATGTCTTCCTAGAGGAAAAAAAAAGTTGCTTCAGCCTGCATGCATAGCAGGTGATTTTCTTGGCCTTTTCTTCCCTCTACAAACTTTCCTAACTTCAAGTTACACTTTCCCAAGCAGAGGAGTTAAACTGAGCCCAGGTGGGAGGAAAACAGGTGGGCATTGTTAGATGAGGCTGAAAGGATTGGTCCCAATCTGTGGGCTTTATGTGCGCATTTCAGTATTTATATTTGAGTTCATTTTCCACCCTCTTTTTGCAATAAAGCTTTGTCTGAACATACAGATGTCCCCGTTTTCCGAAGGATAATGCAAAGTGTCTCTTCTAATACTTACCTTTGCTAGATCTGATATTGCCACAGTATCTGGTGCAGAACTAAATCACCCCTAAAGTTCAAATACAATATTTAAAATACAGAATAGAGCAGACGATGCAATAAAACTGGGAGAAAATCAGAAAGAGGGACCATCTTGTTATCTCCTTCTTGAAGAACCCATTCTGGGAAATGAGCTTTGTTTGTTCTTCCTCACAGTCTCCTGAGTTTGTCAAGATGCCTCGACTCCTGAGAAATGTCCTCTGTGTAATTGAGACATTCCACAAGTATGCCAGGGAGGATGGTGATGAAGTGACCCTGACCTGCAGAGAGCTGAAACGGCTCATCCAGAACGAGTTTGGGAACATTCTTCAGGTGAGGTGCTCACAGAGCTGTGCACATCCTTCTCCACTTGTCCTTTCTCCATAATCCAAGCAGGGCAGGTGTCTGCGATCCCTGTCTGTCTTGCACCTGGCTCCCAGCTCTCGGCACTCACTGCCTTTTAAGCAATTTTTTTTTCAGTCTCAGCTCCCTACTCTGTGCAATTGCTTAGCCAGCCTTATGGAGAAAAGTGAAGTTTTCCTTACTGGGACTATTACTTCGGCAAAGTAGGCTTTTGAGAGGAGTCATGAGCCAGTATGCATCTAAATGCAACTCATAGGTGATATAAATGCCCCTTCTTACCCATTGCTTTCTCATGAAAAATGGCATCCAGGGAAAAATCCTACTGTTGGGGGAAATTTCACCAATGCCTGAGGAATAGGGTTAAAAAATGAGTGTTCTTGGGGGACAGTCAAGATACTTGTCCCCTTGTAAACAGGCTGACTTCTCACTGTGTTTTCATGCAGCCACATGTCATTCACGATGTGGAGAGAAACTTGAACCTTCTGGCTCTTAACAATGATGGCACCATCAGTTTTAACGAATTTGTTCTTACAATCTTCAACTTGTTGAACCTCCATTATCTTGACATACAATCATTACTGCATCCAGAACCAAGACAAGTGTCTAGCCCAGAAGAGAAGCCAGATGACATGGAGGCCCATGGAACAGTAGTGCAGGGAGAAAGTGAGAGAAAGACACAGCTACCAGCCCTGAAAGGTGAAGCACAGGATGGAAAGTATCAGGAACTCCAGGAATCATCAAAAGAAAGGGATGCTGAAGAAGGTTCTAAGACAGAAGAGTTACACTCAGAAGATCAGAATCATCCTGAAATTGAAGGAGCGGTCACCTCAGGAAAAGAGGCAAGACATGCAGATGAAGGGACAGCAGAAACACTTGTGAGCAACAAAAATGCCCCTGCAGCAGAAAGGGCACCAGGAGCAAGAGAAAGAATATGGCAGTTGTCATCGCTTGAGAACCAGTCTGGAGGGGAAAATAAGAGGGTCACCAAGACTCATGACAAGCCAGTCAAGGAGGATGATGGTAACCAGGGGGAGGATCCTGAGCCAACAGTCACAGAGAATGATAAAAGGTCTTCTGAAACCCCTAACAGCCTGACTCCAGAAGATGGTGACAGCAGCTCAGGGACAAGTGATCTTCTTCTGCAAGAGGATTCCCAGAGTCAAGTAGACTCACTCAGAGAGTCTGCACAAGGAAGTTGCCATAATAACCCAAACACTCAGAAACAGGTAGCATTGGGTAAGAAAAACAGAACTCAGGAGGCAGCTGGAGGAGAGGATGAGCAGCTCAGCAAGGAACAGGAACAGCCTGAAGGAGAAGAGCACAGGATTCAGGGCTCAGCAACGAAAGGCCCAGGCCCAGCTGTGGAGCACAGTGGACACCCAGAGGCACAGACACACCTTGAAACAGAGAAACTTGTCACATGGGAGGAAGAAGATAAAAGCCCTCAAAAGCTGGCGGGAGAAGTTGATGACCAACAAAATCCAGCCAAGAAGGAACATGATTCTTCTTCAATCTTCCAGTCAGGCCTTGAAGAGAGGAATCAGAGGAGCAAAGAGCCCTGTTCTGCAGAGAGAGGTACAGTGTAGTCCAATCCACTTTACAAGTACCTGCAAGAGAAGATACTGCAGCAAACACACACAACCAAAAATGAGCATCAAAATCAAGCTCAGACATCCAGGGTATCAGGTCAGGTCCAGCGCTCTGCAATGACCAGTTCAGCAATGAGATCTCAGATTGTCTTGTCTTTTTCAATGACAGCTAAGCTTTACAACAGTACACCAAGGAACTTCTGCCTGGTAAGGATTCTGCTGATGCACAGCAAACATCAGCTTCCGAGGCTTTGGAAGATAAGCAAGGCCACCCTCAAACACAGGAACCAGACCACAAAGGAAGGGGAGCACCACAAAGCAATGAATCCTTATCGCTATCCCTGGAGAACTTCAGTACAGCTCAACATGTCCCAAACTTATTTCCTCTTGACCACCCTCAACATGTACACATGTATGTACTCACATGTACACATTCAGATACAGAATGATAATCCCTTCAATTCCCTTCCTAAATTTTTACAAGAGCAAATAATAAAGTATTCAGCAGTGGGAACTACCTCCGAAGAAATGTCACACCAAACAAACATCTTACCATGTGATGCTACTACCAAGTGCTAAAATGGACTTTCTCAAGGGACAATTTATCACAACTTAACTGTCACTAAAAATGGAAAAATCCCTTTCATGTCTTTAATAGTTGCCAATTTCTTCAACTGATTCATTAACTTTTTATGATGTGGCAGTAGGAACTATGAGACTCTACAATACTACCTTATAATCATAAAATATCATTAATTCATAGTCATAGATGATTATGTTTCATAATATTTTCTATACAGATTTCATGTTTATCCCAAAATTTTATCTCTCAGAATAATCTCAGATAGCATTATAACTAAAATAATTATGACATCTAGCATCCAATTGAACTAGATTCATTACTCTTTATTCATGTCCAGTTGCAACTCAATATATGCCATATATTCATTCTTTCATTTATTCATTTAACAAACCTTTGTTAAATCCTACTCCTTACCCAGCCCTTTCATAGTTTCTGGATCAAATAAGCAGTCAGAATACAAATCTAAAATATGCATGATTTCTTAAGAAGTTCTTATAACCAACCATCAACTAAGTCTACAAATATGGTTTGTAGACCATAGACAAATATGGTCTACCCATATGGTTTGCTAAGGTCATTGTATTAAAATTAGTAATTAAATAGCCTGATCATCAATACTTTTTGTTGGTATACTTTTTTCCTTTTATTTCCCATCTAGACTTTAAGACATCGATCAGAGACAAAAACAATCTCTGGGATTTCTGTTTTAAAAGAACCGCAATTAAAGGGTGATGCTCTCAAAACTTATAGATGACATAGAAAAAGAATAAAACAGTTGTCACATAATTTTTCCTGAAGCCAGAATACCCCCTCTCCTGGGTATTCTTCCTTTGAGGCTCAAATTTCTTCCACTTCATTTCACACCTTTTCCAGAATCTAAAATTCTTCTCTATTTCCTCCCCTTCCACATTTTCAGATCTTCTCATTCTACCTGTAAACATGAATGAATATTCCTATCTAAATAAAGAATTCTCTTAAATGAGCAAGAGACATGAGACAATTCATATATATATATATATATATATATATACCAGAACATAAACTAAACATCTCTTTTGGCAAGTAACTTAGCAATATATATTAAGGACTGCAAAATGACAAAGGTCATAAATAATAAATTCACAGAAGAAGCTATACAGCTCTGGTTGGATCAACTCAGTGGATTGAGCACCAGCCTGCGAGGTTAAGGGTCACTGATCTGGTTAGGGTCAGGGCACATGCTTGGGTTGTGGGCCAGGATTCCGCTTGGGGGCGTGCAAGAGGCAACTGATTGATGTTATCTGGAGCACATTGTTTCTCTCCCTCTCTTTCTCCTCCCCTTCTCCTCCCTCTAAAAGTAAATAAATAAAATCTTTTTTAAAAAGAAGCTATACTGATAATAAATATATGAAATCCTCACTAGACTTCAAGAAAATATGAATTTAAAATATTTTTTCACTTATCAATTAGTAAAGCTTATTAATTTGTTTTTAATAACTATATACTAAGGTTGATAACCAAACAGAAAGTGAAATACAGCTGATAGGTATGTATATGAGTACAACCTTCCCAGAAGGCAATAATAATATGCATAAAAATATATTAAATATAAAGAAATAATCAGGAATTTGTATAAAGATTCATCTACAGAGATATTAGTCATTGCCTATTAAAGATAGCAAAACCCAAAAATAACCTAACTGTACATCATTACAGGAATTTTTAACTAAGCTATGGTTACTAGGTACTGAGGCATGCCAAAACCATTAGAAACTATGAGGGAAGATATTTAATTAAATGAGGAAGGATTCACTAGATACTAAGCTTTGAATAATATAATATAGAGTATGATTTCACTTAAAAATTAATAGATGCATAAGTAGGCAGAATATGAGACCAAAACCTTAACAATAGTTACCTTTAACTAGGGCAACTATAAATGATATTTACGTCCTATTTTGAGATTTTCTTCATTTTCCAATTTCTTATAATAAAAATATAACATTTGCAATCAGAAAAATAAATGCTATTTTAGAAACTAATTGATAACTTTTAACTCTAGCCTCAAGAAATAATCTAAAATAGAAAAAAATCTTCACAAAAATGTTCACAACACCATCATTTATAGTAATAAAAAGTACAGAAAATCAAATTTCTAATAGAGGAATAGGTTATGAAAATTACCCAATATGCCCTTGATGGTTATTATACAGTCTCTAGAATGTGCAGTTATGAAGCATCAGCACTCATGGAAAACTCTTTATGTGGAAATACATGATACCATTCTGTGCTTACAGTACACTATCAACAATATTTTTTAAATTACTTATATACTCTTGCATGATGGGTTTGAATTACACAGGTCCACTTATACATGGAATTTTTTCAATAAGTACATACAGTACCTTAAATGTATTTTCTTAATTACATTTTATTTTCTCTAGCTTACTTTATTGTAAGTATATGCAATATATAACATACATACAAAATATGTGTTAATCAACTGTTTATAGCATGCTATTGGTAAAGTTTATAATCAACAGTTAAGTTCTGGAGGAGTCAAAAGTTATACATGCATTTTTGACTGTGAGTGTGGTCACCTCCCCCATAACCTCTGCTTTGTTCAAGGGTCAACTATAAATATATATGAGAGGAAATATACCTAACCATCTGCGATTTTCATCTCTTGGTAATAGAACATTGTGATTTTTTTCCTTCTTTCTAAATTTCTATATTTTCAAATTTTTCTGTACTGGGTGTTGTTTATTTATTTCCTAATTTAAAAAGTAAAATAAATAAATAAAAATAATGACAACTTATCAATGTTCTCTTCACATTCTAACATTCAATTTTTCTCCCCCTCTTTCTGGCCTCCATTCTATCCCTAACACAGGGCAATTTTTCCCCACCATTCTACAAAAATTCTTCCTTTGAAGAACACATTGCCCTCCTACTGACAAGTCTAAAGACATTTATCCTCTGTGTTTTGTTTTGTTTTGTTTTGTTTTGTTTTGTTTTGTTTTTGCCTCTTGTGGCAGCTGATACTGGCGACTGCCCCCTCCTAAAACACTCATTTCACTGGTTCTTCCCCACCTCTCTATGGATCCTTCTCATCCAGTCCCCAAGACTGTGGGCTCTTTCCAAGGGCTTTTCTTTTCCTAGACTTTCGCCCTCTGAGAACCTTTTTTTGGCTCAAGTTACTATTATCTCTTCTACACCAGTGAGTCTCAGTTCACCTTGTTCAGACTTGACTGTACACTTCAATCCAACCTACACAAATGCTCACAAGATAACACCCCTGAGATTGCCCACCACTCCCCAGTAACCTGGCTTTTCTCAGTTTCCCTCATTCTGTCATTCTTTCTTTCTCCATTCGAACCAATTTCAAATGCACAGACTTTGAACTCATCATTTGCTTTGTCTCCCTTATTCTCCCTATCTAATTCACTATAGGATCTCAACAGGGTCTTTCATAAACTCATTTTACAGATCCGTCCTTCATTCTCCATTACCTATATGACTTCAGGTTCCTTCCACCTAAAATGCTGTTTCTCTTTCCTCTCTATAGATTTATGTCCAAATCCTCCTAATCCTATGGGATCCAACTCCAATGTCCCTTCCTTCCTTCCTTCCTTCCTTCCTTCCTTCCTTCCTTCCTTCCTTCCTTCCTTCCAAGATTTTATTTAAAAATATGTTAGTTCCAAATATTGGGTGAAGCACCAGAAATAGAACAGTAACAAAGAAAATTAAGTACTCTTTGCCTTGGAGTTTGTTTTCTAATGAGGGAGAAGAGAGACAAACAACAAAAAATTACAATAAATAAACAAGACAATTCCAGTATGGTAGTGAGGGCCAGGGGAGCAGGAAGGCAGAGGCAGGCAGACTTGCTGCTATAGAATATTACTTGAACCTTTCCTGCTGCCTCCAGCAAAACAAATGTTGTCCTCCCTTAACTCCATAGTTTTTACTTATATATCTTTTTTTTTAAATGTTCACCCTTACAGTTATTCGCGTGCTTGTCTTAGCTCTCCTCTCAGACTATAAGCTCCTTGATGACAAGGCTTGCTACTTGCACATCTTGCTAGTCTGCATTAGCATAGATCTTAGCAGCAGATGTGTACTATGAGTTCAATAAATGTTTGTTGAATAAGTAAACAAATACCAATATCATTGGAACAGCCTCTTAGCTGTCCCCCTGCTTCCAGTCCATTCCTCATTTAATCACTCATGAATTTTGAAAATTGTTGTTTTTGTTTCTCTGCATAAGACCTCTCAGTGACACCTCTAGTTTCCTACCTGCCACTTTGAATGTAAACTGATCAAACTCTCTATAATAGACCTTTAATTGCGATTTAGAAATGTAGAACTCTTACTAAGAGCACTGGGTTGGTCATCTAATTGTCTTTTAACACTCACCTTGGTCATTGAAATCTTGTCTCACTAAGTTGACAGGAACATTGTTGGGATCAATTTCATTCAATCATTTCATTTAAATATATTTATTAAGCACTTGCTATGTGTCAGGCACTGGTGGACACTGAACAGGCCCTAGTGAATAAAATAGGCAGGTCCCTGCCCCCATGAAAGTTACAGTCCTGAATAAGACAACTGTAGAGTGCTGCAAAGAACTATTCAAAGGCAAGGTGTTCATCATATTATTGCTTCCACCTCCATGCCTCTGCACTTGAGATTAACCTTCCCTGAAATGTGTTTCCTTCCTCTACTTTCTCAATCATCCCTGTCCATAAAGTCCTGGACTAATTATAATCTAGACTAAGTATAACCTCTTCCCAGAAGCTCAGTGATCTTCTAACTACTATATCATCCATAGCCTGCACCACCCAGATTAATACTAATTCTTGCTGGCTGGTGCTACCTACTAATTGTTCTTTGAGTGTTATTTCCCCAACTTAAGCTCTCTGACCTCAGCATCTGCCTGTGTGAAATGTCATTATAATAACCCACAGGGCTATCATAAAGAATAAAAAATAGAACTAGTATACAGAATATACAAAGAATGCCTGTAAGTCAATGAGGAAAAAAATCCATTTCTAAATAAATTTTATTTCTAAAATAAATTTTAAAGTAAAAGACATGAACAGTCACTTCAGAAAAGAGGATATCAAAAAACCCAATGAAAAGGTACTCAATCTCATTAAATATTAGGTAAATGCAAATTAAACCACAGTGAGAAACTACTAAATGTCTGAAATTTAAAAATGATAATACCAAGTGTGCACAGAAGGAGAGCAAGTAGAACTCTCACACTGATTGCAGGAGCATAAATTGCTATAGTAATCATTTTGGATAACTGTAGGTCAATATTTATGAAAGCTGATCATATACAAACCCTATGACCAAGTAGTTCCACTCCAGGTATATAACCCAATAGAAATGCACCAAAAGGCATTGTCAAAAATATTGATAGAAACTTTTGAAGGTAAATAGCTCACAGGCCCATCAACCAAAAATGAACAAATAATTTATATTATAGTCACATGATGAACTATACTATAGCAATGAGAACTACAGCTGTACACCGCAATGTCGAA